GAATTAAGATAGATCCATTTTGTTCCCATGAGAACTCAATTCTGTATACTTATATATGATTATGGAAGATAGATTTTTGATATTCATATTTTCAGGTAACATTTTGTTTAATAATATATAGTAAATCAGAAGATGAAGCAAATCCAAGTATTTTCAGTTGAAAAAAAGGCAGCATGGATGTACAACTTCCTGTTCTCTCATGGAAAATGTTGAGGGAATATTTTCCATGCACCTCTGTATTTTCTGTTTATCTTGTAAGTCACTAATTGCTCTTCGTTTTGGAATATCTTTAGGATGTTTGTATAGCGAACAGCCTTGAAAGGTAGAAATAATGTCTTTCTCTCTAGCAGAGGGGCAGGTTTGTTTATAGCCTTGGAAACTCAGGGTTTTTCTCCTGAAATGAAACCCACCGTGTGTACAAGCATCCATCTGGGCCCGCCTATATTGCTTTATGGGCAAAGGGAACTAACACAAATAGACTGATGCTCATACTGCTTGTTCTGTGGTGAGTAGTAAATAAAGTCCTTTGTCTCTGACCCATGAGTCTTATCTTCTGCTAGTATGCATGAAGCCATAACAGGCTAACCTGTTAGCTCCCAAGTTGGGAAAAACCTCAGACCTTCAAAGTTTTGGACAGAGACCCCTTAGCTGTCTGAGCAGGCAGGTACAATGCCACACAGGTGATACCCTGTGCTTTGCAGTCTGCAAGCTATCATATTAGCATTTTTTTTGTCACTGATTTTCTCCTCCAGAGTCACAAGATGAGCTATTCTCAGCCAATCACATCTTAAGTGTGACTTCTATTCTAAAATACATGTGTGAAACCTACTAACTACTAATTATTCTGCCTTAAATATTCTTAACCAAGTGGGAAAAAATTTCGACACCAGCAAGAATGCTATATTAAAATTTTAGAATCATCCAGTCATAAAATACATTAAAATGATACTTGATTTAAATAAAAAATGTTGTATATGTGTATGTGCCTGAAAATATAAAGGAAGCGTATTTTCAAGAAAGTTTGTTACATGATAAGCACTAAGGGACTAACACTGTGGTTTCTGAGTGTTCACAGAACCATTATTATCACAGTACAGGATCACCATGGGCTTGGGCTCTCACCTCCTCCTGACCAGGCGTTTGAGGAGCAATGTGATCAGCTACTCCTTCTACTACTGTGGGAGACTATGAGGTATTGCTCGGGCAGCTGGAGATGTTCTGTGTTTGCACTGTCCAGTACAGCAGCCACTAGCCACATGTGGTTATTGAGCACTTGAAGTTTGGTTAGTCTGAATTGAGATGTGTATAAGTGTAGATTAAATCAATATACCAGATTTCAGACTTAAGGCAGAAAAGGAAGGTAAAATATCTCATTAATAATTTAAAAAATTACTTATGTTTGGAATAATATTTTAGATGTATCAGGTTAAATAAAATATATTATTAAAACTAATTTCACCTGCTTATTTTTAATTCTTTCAATGTGGCTACTAGAAAACTTTAAATTACATATGTACAATAGCTCTTATTTTATTTCTACTGAGCAATGTTTTAGATCTTTGCTACTCACAGAGCAGTCCTCAGGCAAGCAGCATCAGCATCATCCGGAAACTTGTTAGAAACAAAGAAGCCCATGTCCCACCCCAAACCTACTGAATCAGGATTTGCATTTTTAGAAAATCTCATGTGATTTGTATGCATGTTAAAATTTGAGTAGCAGAGAGTCCTTAAGACTAGGATTGCCAGATTTAGCAAATAAAAGTATAAGATATCCAGTGGAATTTAGTTTTCAGATAAACAACAAATAATTTCTTAGTATAGTATGTCCCAAGTATTACATGGGGCATACTTAGTAATAAAATTATTTGTTTTTTTATCTGAAGTTCACATTTAACCAAGTGTCCCGAATTCTATTTGGCAACACTGCCTATGACAAAACTCCTCCTGCCCAGACCTGTCTTGCTCCTTGAAATTCCATGGAATCAGGAAGAGGACAGAAAGGTAAAAGAAAAGGCTAAGGGTGGAAGTTGGGTGCAGTGAAAGAACAGAGAAGAAAGGAAATACATGCTGAGAAGTAGGAATAAGATGGGGCATGGACAGACCTTTTGTATTTTATAATTTTTATTAGCAATTTTCTTCCTTACTTCTGTTTTCTCCCACTTCTCCCAGTCATTGTGATTTAATCTCCTCATTTTCTATAGGGCTCCCTAGAGCCATGTTAGAAGATGGTATTTGTGCAAAGTGGACAGTGAGGAAGGTAGTATCTCATCAGGGTCAAGTCCCAAGTCTTCCTATAATGCATCCTCTCTGAAATGCCACTTACAAATAGCCCCTTTCAGCTACCAGTAGTTTGCCATTAAAAAGATCAAGGTTCTTAAGTGTCAAAAATGCTGACACTTGGGCTTCCCTGGTGGCGCAGTGGTTGAGAATCTGCCTGCTAATGCAGGGGACATGGGTTCGAGCCCTGGTCTGGGAAGATCCCACGTGCCGCGGAGCAACTAGGCCCATGAGCCACAACTACTGAGTCTGTGTGTCTGGAGCCTGTGCTCCACAACGAGAGGCCACGACAGTGAGAGGTCCGCGCACCGCGATGAAGAGTGGCCCCACTTGCCACAACTAGAGAAAGCCCTTGCACAGAAATGAAGACCCAACACAGCCAAAAATAAAAATAAGTAAATTAAAAGAAGGCTCAACATTAAAAAAAAAAAATGCTGACACTTTCATTTTGGAGGATTTTCTTTATTGTGACTTTTTAATTGTATGTTTTTATACAAAACAACTGTTAGGAATTTTGTTTGTTTGATGCTTTTTAGGTGGTGGTGGGTTGAAGTGGAGGCTGGCAAAGAAGGAATAACAATAGATATTCTTTATTTAGCTAGGCATTGAAGTAAGAAAAGGCTTTCATCTGTGTTAATTATTTAAAATTTTATTATATTGTGATAAAAACACAATATGAGATGCAGTCTCTTAACAAATTTTTAAGTGTGCAGTACAGTATTGTTAAATATAGATGCAGTCTTGTACAGCAGATCTCTAGAATGTATTAATATTGCTTAAATGAAGCTTTGTGCCAGTTAATTAGCAAGTCCTATTTCCTCGTTCCCCAGCCCTTGGCAACCACCATTCCACTCTTTGATTCTATGAATTTGCCTGTATTAGACACCTCATATAAATGGAATCATATAGTATTTGTGACTGGCTTATTTCACTTAGATAAATGTCCTCAAGGTTCATCCATGTTGTCACATATTGCAGAATTTCCTTTTTATTTAAAGGCTGAATAATATTTCATTGTATGTATATATCACGTATTGTTTATCCATCCATCCATGAACAGAGACTTAGGTTTTTTCTACCTCTTGGCTATAGTGAATAGTGCTGCAGTGAAAATGGGAGTGCTAATATCTCTTTGAGATCCTGATTTCAATTCTTGTGGATAATGATCCATAAGCGCAATTGTAGGATCATATGGTAGTTCTATTTTTAATTTTTTGAGGAGTCTGCATATTGTTTTCCATAGCAACTGCACCATTTTGTATTCCCACCAACAGTGTACATGGGTTCCGATTTCTCCACATCCTTGCCAACACTTCTTTTTTTGATAATGACCACCCTGACAGGTGTGAGATGATGTCTCTTTGTGGTTTTGATTTTTATTTCCCTGATGATTAATGACACTGAGCACTTTTCATATACATGTTGGCCATTTGTGTGTCTTCTTTGGAGAAATGTCTATTCAAATTGTTCACCCACTTTAAAATTGTGTTATTTGTTTTATGCTATTGAGTTGTAGGAGTTCCTCATATATTTTGGAAATTAACCCTATATCAGACGTATGTTTTGCAAATACTTTCTCTCATTCTATAGGTTGCCTTTTCACTCTGTTGATTGTTTCCTTTGCTGTGTAGAAGCTTTTTAGTTTGATGTAGTCCTATGTCTGTTTTTGCTTTTATTGCCCATGCTTTGGGAGCATAGCCATAAAATTATTGACAAAACCAATGTCCTGAAGCTTTTCCCCTATGCTTTCTTCTAGGTTTTAAGTCTTTAATCCATTTTGAGTTGATTTTTGTATATGATGTGAGATAAGGATCCAATTTCATTCTTTTGCATGTGGATATCCAGTTTTCCCAGCATCATTTGTTGAAGAGACTGTCCTTTTCCCATTATATGTTCTTGGCACCCTTGTTGACCAGTTACCCTTATGTGCATGTATTTATTTCTAGGGTCTCTAGTCTGTTCTACTGTTCTATATGTCTGTCTTTATGCCAGTACTGTTCTGTTTTAATTACTGTAGCTTTGTAATGTATTTTGAAATCATGAAGTGTGATGCCTCCAGCTTTGTTCTTCTTTCTCAAGGTAGATTTGGCTATTCAGGGCCTTGTTTAATCTTCACAACAATTCTTTGAGTTAAGTACCTTTGTCCCCACTCTGCAAATGAAGAAAAGTAACTTGCCTAATATCAGATAGCTAGTAAGAGCTGGAGCTGGGAATGCACTTGAGTGCTGTCTGACTCCAAAGCCAGTGTGCTTTACCATTGCATTTCATGCCTCTCAGCAAATGGAGAGTCATGAATTCAATAGGACACATACATAAAATTAGTTTAGCCTCAGAGAGTTTTACTTAGTTATTCACCTGAAAAATGCCTGTGATATTGTATACTTCATAGATTTTTGAGGAGAATTTGTTTCCTGAAAAGCATTATGAGATTCTGAAGAGAGTACCAAAACTATGCCAATTTCTAAAAAGAGCTTAATAATCTTTTATTGCAATGAATAATCAAACAACCTAAACAGACTCATTAGTTTCACTCTGTACTCTAAATTAAGCAGTATCAGGCCCCTCCTTCCACCCTCTCCCACACATAATACATCGTGGAAAAGCTATCTTTTTATTGGTTGAATATATTAGTCAGTCACAAGGCGTAAAAAGTACTGCCTCTGCTCTATTTGCATTTATGAATTAACAGATGTGCCTGGTTTGAAAAACGGATTCATTTCTTGATGGGAAGAAAAATCTTTAGTTTTTCACTTTATTTTTTTATGTATGGGATTTTCACTAACCTTGGACCAGTTACTTGCCAGGAAGAACGTAAGGTGAGTAACTGCACATCTTTTAATATAATGCATCTGCAAACTTTAGTGCAAGTATGAAATTATGTGGTTCTGTAATTTCTTTATATTGTTGCACAGCTACATTTGTTAACAATTCAAAATGGATATACTAGATTAGATCATTTGGTAGCTACTAAAATCATTGAACGAGAGTTTATAAATAAGAGATTAAAACATAATCTTTATTATAAGAGGGAAGAGTTAATTTATTTGTTCAAAATATCCAAGAAACATTTGTATTATGTACCAAAGTATATCTCTATGAGAAAATGACTCAAATCAGTGTTCATGTTTCCTTTATACTTATAAGTAAATGTTAATTTCGGTTTCTCCTGCTGTTTTTATGTGAGAAGAGAGTAAGAAAACATTTAAAAACCTCAGAAATATGTTACCTGTCCCCCAAAGAACAGGTATTAAATCATTTTAACTAGTAGGAGATGGTAATTGTGTGGAGTACATACTATTTAAAACTAACAAGCAAAATTTCTATTTCTATTTCCTTTGTCCTTTTGGCTTCTTTCCATACTGTATAAGGGAACATATAGAGATTTCTATATAAAGAAGAACATGCAAAATCTGAATAGCAATTAACTTATGTCATATCCCCCAATTACTCATTATGTGCTCTCACAACAAATCCATCAGGGGATTTAGTGTGAGCACAAAGGAAGGTGTCAAGCAGGATGATCTGCCAAAACTTGTGTTAAGGAATTCTTAAGTCATCAGCTAATAAAAACAGTAAGTACAGGTATTTTTTATTTGTTTCCAAATCAGTTAGTGCTTTCCTTCAGGTTCACTTTCAAGTAATAAATGACCTATACTCCTTAGGTGGTTAAAGCTTAGTAATGTTTCCTCACCTGGTTTATACAGAAATGACTGATTTATGTATTACACTGGTAAAATATACACCAAGAACTGTAAAAATCCCAATTCTGTTTTTGAAGCAAGATTAATGGGTTTAAATAATTTTAGTTCCAGAAGAAACCGTAGAAATCATACAAATCAGTGATCATTTGAATCTAATAATATGTCATATTAATTCATTATGAAGGAAACAACAGTTGCTGTTTTGTGAATGTTCTTTCATATCATAGATCTGGAATTTAAAATATATTTCAATTCTATGAGTAATTCAACGTTCTTAAGTCTCTAGGAAGGGTGATTGTATTTTAAGCCTGATACATGTTACCTGAGCTTAGAGAAAGTAGGGGTCATCACTCTTCATTTACATAGTCCTTCCTCAAATTGGGTTTATACTTAAACAAAAAGGAAATCTTTTCCCTCTCACACAGCACCCCCCGTGATCTCCCATTTCCCACTTGCCTTTCAGAGTTTGTTCGTTCATTAAATTGTTAGTTCATTTATGCATGTAACACATAGTTTTAATACTTGATACTTTTAAATAGGCACAGTGCTAGGTGCTGGTTGTACAATGGTGAGCAAAACAGATATAGTCTCTGCCCTCATGGACCTTTAAATCTAGAACAGAGGTGCTCATTAATCAAATGAATGATATTGTTACAAATAAACTGTGAAATGTGCTTTGAAAGAAAAGTATGGTAGACTGTGAACACATATAATAGGGGGATCTGAACTAGTCTGAAAAGTTAGGGACAGTGTTTTTGAGGAAGTTATATTTGAGCTGTGATATGGAGGACATGACAAGGAGGTAGGGAGAAGGGCAGGATGGAGAACATTCCAGGTAGAGGGGACAGCAGGTGCTAAGACTCTTATGAGGGAAGAAGGGAACATGAAGCATTCAGGGAACTGAACTAAAGAACGCTAGTGTATCTGGAGGAGAGAGGGGCGGAGGCAAAATGAGCACAACTAGCAGGCTGAGGCCTTTCAGGGCCTTGTAGGCCTTGGTAGGAACCTGATCTTCACCCTGAGCAGAACCATGAAGGAGCTACTTCACCTTCATCTTCATGAAGGCATACTTGGGAGACTCATGATGGAACACCTGGTAAATCAAAAATATTTCACCAGCCACTGCAAGCCTAGGGCTCTTGATTACTTTTCATGTATTGCAGAGTTCCCTTTTACTGGAAAAGGGTCTGAATATTTTAGTGCTAATGTAGGTTTACTTTTTTTACATTAAAAATCAGTGTTTCTTAGTTTATTCACATGGATAATTTAAACCAGATAATCCTTTAGTTCTACTTTAGTTCAGAGATCATGTAGTGATGTGAAAATGCATGTGTACTGTATTTTGTCTTTGGTTGAGATTATGGCTTCCTTTAAAACCTCATTAGTTTAGGCTTATGGGTGTGGGCAAGGCCTATCCAAATTAGAGTTTATTTGAAAAAGAATATAGCAGCATTATTGTATGTCCATAGATTCATTGAAATGAAAGTAAGCCTATTTTGTGTGCTAAAAGCTTTTCATTAGTGAACACGTGGAAATTTTTAATTAGTAGAGTCTCAAGCCAAGCATATTAATGATATGATAACTCATTCATTTATTCATATACTTTTATTCAGTAAACATTAAACTCCTTTGCTGACTAGATATTTTCAAATGACTTGATATATTATTATCTTATTTAGGTAAAATATATCTCAATTTTATGTTTTTGTTCATTAAAACATTTTAAAATTGAATCCTTAACCTTGTATCATGAATTACGATTTTTGGATAAAGTTCAAATTAAAAAAATTTAAAAATCTATTTGTATATGGTGATACTAGAAAGCTTGAAACTTTTCAAGAAATATTTCTGGAGTATTAGTCTTTCTTTCATGTATTCAGTTACTGTTTAACTTGTACTATAGAATTTGGAGTTTAAGTAGGTAGAGATCTTTCGGCTAAAGCATATCTCTATTGTGGTTATATGATTATTTTGATCGGAGCCTCACGCTTGCTGCTCAGGAAATTTAATTTCTTAGTGCTCCTAGGTGTGATTTGATTCAGAGGACTGATTAATGCTAACCATACTCACAAGAGACATAGTATAAATCAGAATGCTAATTTATAAATTTTTAAAGTAAGGCATCTTTTAAAAAAGAATAAATTAGAAAAATTTATCAAAGTAATACATATACATGGTTAAAATAATCAAATGGTACCAAGACACCTAATAAATTATTAAAAAACTGTCTCCTATTTCGTCAGCTTTTCTCTAGTAACAAACAACTGCAAAATTCCAGAATCTTACAATCTCAAACATTTATTTCTCACCCCTGTTACAGCTACAGGTGGGCTGCCATGGCCCTGCTCCAGCTCTGTTTCCATGTCTTCTCATTTCAAGACCCAGACTTGAAATAGCAGCCTCTATTTGGACATGCCATTATCATATCAAAGAGAAAAGGGCAAGGGGTGGTAGACGCATGTAACACCTCTTAAAGTTTCTATGGAACTGGCACATTATTGCTTCCACTCATATTCCATTGGCCCATATTCCAAGACATATAGCCAAGCCTGATGACGGGGCAGGAAATATTCCCCCCACAGGGAGGTACTACAAGGAATATGGCCAAAGACAGAGATACATTCATCTCTGGGATTGCTGTTCCTAGGGAGTTAGTTGGGAACAATCATACAGTCCACGACTGTATGTATTAAATATTATTATTTAAATGATATATGCAGATGATTTCTCAATTTATACATTTTAGATTTTGTGTAACAACTTCCTTTTATTATCAACAGAGTATTTAACATATAACCTGGTCTCTCAGATCCTCCTTTTGCATAGAGATCTCCCTCTAGGTTTCCCTTCTTCAGAGCCCTTTTGTCCTGTTGCTCCGATCTGGATTGATTCTCTCTAGGTCTGATGTGCAGTAGTCATCCTTAGGTTTCTCTTCATTGTTCTTCTGAGTTTGATCCACTGTTTATTAGAATGTATGCTTTCCTCTTTCTTGGTTTTATCCCTTACTTTCGTGGAGCATGTCCTCCATTAGCTTTTGAAAGGGTGTAAGAAATACATTTTCTGAATCCTTGCATGATTCTTGTTTTTTATTTCTGGAAGCTTATAGGACATTTTCTTTCTTCTAGTCTTCAAAATGTTACAAGTACCATATCTCACAACTATCAACTCAGAATGGATCCTCACATAGCTAAATGTAAATGCTGAAACTTTAAAACTTCTAGGTAAAATGCAAGAAAAAATCTTTGTGACCTTATGTTAGGAAATATTTCTTTTAGACACAAAAAAATGGACAATAAAAGAAAAACAAATTCATTAGACTTTTGAAATTTAAAACTTTTGCTTTTTGAAAGTCACCATTAAGAAAATGAAAAAGACATAGAATGGAAAAAATGATTTTCAATGCATATATCTGACAGAGAACTTGTATCTAGAACATACAAAGAATTCTTTCAACTCATAAGAGGACCATGAACTTATTTTTAAAAATTGGAAAAAGTTTTAAACACATACTTTACAAAATAAAATATATGAATGGTGTTAGACACAAGAAAAGATGCTCAGCATCATTAGTCATCAGGGAAATGAAAATTAAAACTACAATGAGATAGCAACCCACACCCATTAGAATGGCTACAATTAAGCAGACTGACAATACCAAATGTTTTGTCATAAGAATGTGGAGCTACAGGAAAGCTCACATGCTGAAACTGATTGGCAGTTTAAAAGTTAAACAAACTTATACATTATGACTCAGCCATTCTACTTTGGGTATGTATTCAAGAGAAACAAAAACGTATTCCACAAAACCCCATAAATGTCCATCAGTGGGTTCATAGACAAAATGTGGTATATCCATACAATGAAATATTTCTCAGTAATAAAAAGGAATGAAATATTGATACATGTAACAAAATCAGTGAATTTTAGTCATTAAAAATCTGAAAGAATCCAGGCACCAAAGAATATATGTTACAGGCTTCTGTTTATAATTGGAGAAGATACAAACTAATCTAAAGTGACAGAAAGTAAGTCTGTAGTTGCCTGTGGCTGAGGTGAAGGAAACATCACTCCACTGCAAAAGTGCATGAGGAAACTTCTGTGGGATGTAAATATTCTGTATCTTTATTGTGGCAGTGTGTCATAGGTATATGTCTGTGCCCAAATCCATCAAATTGTACACATTGAATGGACTAATGCAGTTTACTATACTTAAATTATATGTCAATAGAGCTGATAAAGTGAAAAAATAATTGCATGCATATATGAATTTATTAACAGCATCTAGTAGAATTATAGGTATCAATTTATCATCTTAAATTCTCACTAGCTGTTAGAGGTTGTATTACAAGGAGAATGGTGCATTTAATTTGTAATTGGTTCCATATAATTAATTCTAAAGCATTTCACTATAATATAGATTTAGTAACTCTTTAGATCCAAAATTATGTTTTGCATATAGATAATAATGTATAATATATATATTTCTCTAATTGTAAAAGTGTTGGGTTTATATGATAGTTATATATATAGGTCTTGGATAGGAATCTCTAAATATAGAATTTGATCTGTATTCTCATATATTACAGGTACAACTTATGAAAAATTAAAAATATGCAGTAAACTAAAAACTTTTATGACATGACACAATTGGAGATTTAAACTGATGTGATATTTAATATTAAAGAATTATTAATATTTTCTAGATATAATTGGGCCGTTACTTTTTAAAGTCCTTATCTTTTAGAAATACATACCTAAATAAATATAATTTCTGATATTTTCTTCATAATAATACTAGAGTGGGGAAGTGGGTGGGCACATAGGTAAAACAGGATTGGTTATGACTTGATAATTACTAAAGCTGGATGATGGGCACAGGTACTTGGGGAGGGTGAAGGAGCTTATATTTTTCTGTTTAAATTTGTATATGTTTGCAATATTCCACGATAAAAAGATGTATATATCTTCTAACATAGCAATTTCACTTCTAGGAATTTATCTTAAGGAACTTCTCAGGAGTATGAACAAATAATCCATGATAATGTTCAATGTAGTATTCTTTATTAATTGGAAACAACTTAAATACTTAATAAGTTTCTAGTTTAAATAAATTAATACATTTGTATGATGTAATACCACATGGAATTCAAAATTATGTCAGAAAAATAAGTAATAACATGGGAAAATATTTGTGATATATTTTTAAGTAAAAAAAAAATTACACACTTTAAAACGGGATGTTTATAAAAATCTGTTTAAATGATATAAAAAATAAATTATATTTGTGTGTAGGGTGTGTATGCATGTATGTAGAGTGAAACACTGGAAGGATATATTATTATAATTTATATCTTCATAATTTTCAGAAATACCTTTTTGGCAATAGAGTCTGTCTTTTTTTTAAATAAAAAAGGTTGAATATTTTTGCTTTAATATGTTGACAGTACAATGTGGTATAAAATTTCACTGTAAAATATTTTATTATGTTTTATTATTTGGTTATTTGATTTATTATTTGGTTATTATTTATTTTTGGTTGAACCTCAGTGTCTAGCATACTGCTTGGCACATAGTAAACTCTCAGAGTAGATTGTTTATTCAGTGAATGAACATTAGGGTTGATATTTAAAAATTTTTTCTACGTTAAAATTTTCAGTCTTTTCCTTATTTTCTTTGAAGAACATATATAGTATTACTTTTTAAATCAGAAATTCACTATTCAAAAGTGAACAGTTTTGACAGGCAAAGGTTCTGCTCCTCTACTCTGAGATGTAACAAACCAAAATGTCCTTAAAATTACATATAAAATCTAAAATGTAGATATTTGTTCAGCATCTTTTTATTTTTGTTTCTTCTAGTTTCAGCTCTCCAACATCTTCAAATAAAGAAGTGGTTATGAACAATGGTAAGACTTGTGATTTCCCTTATGATTCCTTTGGGGGTGGAGGAGGGGTTCTGTCTGTGATGGGCTTCCCTGAACACCAGTACTGGCATCAGGAGTCTGATATGAAAATCTCTGAAACTACAGTATTCTAAATTATGAGCCAAAAGAGACTTAAGCCTGTACTTAGCATATTATTGTCACTCAATTACATTAATAAATATATGACACTTAGCCTTTGTACTCATATCATTTTATTTGACAGATCAGCAGAATAATGGAGGAATGAAACCAGTGCAGGATTTCACAACAATACGAATCACACAGGTATGAACATGTTAGGAAACTAGATTGTATCATAAAAAAAAGTAAACACATTTCAATCATGTCAGAGCCACTGTGAAAATATAAATAATAATTTTATTAATAACTAACATTCTTGCTTGAACTTTAGGTAAGGAAATGTATTATGGTAATCTTATAGTTGAGAAAACACTAAAGTTTCACTTGCTGTCATATACAGTATTTTCATTACAATATTCAGTTTTACTTTTGTTCCTTTCCAGATAGGATCACTATAGTAACAGTTTATCTTTGGTTACTGGTAAACTTGGGTTGTTGCTGCCTGTTCAATTTCTCTTTTATCTCTATTTACACTGGAGTAATTGGTATGGAATAGTTGCTCTAGATAAGTGGATCTTCTTTCGGATAGAGACCTGCCTTTATGATCTCCAGAGTGACATACTGAAGTGCATTGTCTTGGGCTTCCTGGAAATCTGCAAAGGTTTCATAAGATGTAGAATAAGGTTAGAATACCTTGCTAGTTTATGTATATTAAATGACCTGGAACTACACTGTCGAAGACAGTAGACACTAGCCACATGCTGCTATTTAAATTTAAATTCAAATTGGATAATGTTAAGTAAAATTAAAAATTAAGCTCCTCAGTTGTACTGGCTACATTTCCAGTGCATGATAACCAGTATCACAGGAAGTTCTGTTGGACATTAACGGTCTGGAGAATTACGCTTGATTTTCAGAAACCTCTTGTTTTCTTTGTTTAACATATTAATGAATTTATTTAAAGTTCTGAATTATTTGGGTTCTTATGATATTATTTTTTGAAAAGATTACCGCCATTAGTTTTAAGGCATGGTGAACTTTAAAAAAAAATTAATAGACTTTTTTTTTAGTAGTTTTAGGTTTATAGAAAAAACTGACCACAAGTACAGAATATTCCCATATACCTCTCCAGTCTGCAGCCCCCACCCCTGCTAATTTCCCCTGTATTTAAAATCTTTCATTAGTGTGATGCATTTGTTAAAACTGATAATCCACTACTGATACATTATTAACTAAAGTCCATAGTTTACATTAGCATTCATTCTTTGTGTCGCACATTTTATGGGTTTTAACAAATGTATAATGATATCTATCTACTATTACAGTATTATACAGACTAATAGTTTCATGGCCCTAAAAATCTGGTGCACTCCACCTATTTATTCCCTCTTCCTCCCCCAGCATGGTGACTGGTGACTTTTTAAAGTCATTATTGCTAATTTATTACTTTCAAAGTTGGTTTTTGGTTTGTTTGTTTTTATAATTTGGTCCTTTACATTTTTGGTGCTTTGTGGAACTGGATTCATGTGCCTTTCAGGTATACTATCATTTTTAGGCTTCATAGGTCCACCCATCTTTTCCCCACAATAGCATGGACTCTGAAGCTAGCAGAGTTTCAACAGGTTTTGAATTGGCTCTTTTACTTCCAAGAAGCCTTTTGTACCATGGATACAAATTCGTATCTTAAATTTCATTTATTTGGTTAATTAGGCTCTCAATTACAATCTGAGCAGACAAAGATTTAGAAAAAGAACCTTGGAATGCATTCAGCCATCATAGCCCGGTTAATGTCTCTGTGGATGGAATTCCCTGCATTCTCTTTTGGGCCAAAAGAATAACAATTAATTTAAGAATCAGACCTGGCTGGACCTTACAGATGAAGCCATTGGCCACAAGGCAACAGTGGACGCTGGCAACTCAAACTGCAGTGAAGGAAGTGCCATGTAACTTGACTGCTTTGCCGGAGCAAGCCCTTAGGGCGAGTGTAGCCTGTTAACTGGGTGGTCCAGTTTTCTGTCATTTCGGAAAGTAGAAGTAGCTCCTTTGTACATGACCCTGACATACATTTCTGAGGAAACGTCTAATGTCTAAAATGAAAGAACAAGTCAGAAATTAATTTTTTTAATTTCTTATTTTTTTTCCCAATAATTTTCTTCTGAACACTTTAGCTAATTGTTATAATACTTTGTGGAAGTTCAGGATTCTGAAAATGAAGTTTCCCAAACTCGTTCTGAAAAAGAGAAAGGATTCCAGGCTCTATGTCAACTCCAAATGTGAGGTGTCAAACTACTTTTGTCCTAGCAGGAAGGAAATTGCATATCGGTGAGCAGAGTCATACATATTCTAGTGGGTGAAACAAAGAAAGCTGACTCCATCTAGCCAGGGCAGATATTTGATTCTAGGAAGTGTTCTGAAGTTCTGGAACATTGCCTGTTTGCAAATGTGCAAGGGTAACTTTGAATGGCCAAATTTCAGAGAATTCTTTAGGACATTTAAAAAATGATTAGAATAATTATTTTTGACTTGAGATAAGCAGATTAAACAACTATCCCTATCGAAGAGGAAGTCAATTTCCAGTGCCTTTCTCTGCTTTTCAGCCATCCAAGCAGATATTTTTTGCTTGTATTTGTTTTGGTCCAGAGGGAGGAAGTCTGGCATGTCCCACTTGCTTTCTATAAAGCTCCTTGCTTTCAACATTTGTTGGCATAATGGAGGCTTTTGGAAGATTCTCTGCATTTGTTCTGGCCTGGTTTAGATGGGCAGAATGCTTTGTATAAACCATAACATGCTCTGTGTTTGTGGTGTGTGTGTGTGTGTTTCTCTGTATTATTCTTATATACTTTGGTGGGAACACTTTTTTATTTCTGAACTTCTCATTTAAAAATTCTTGATGATGGGTAAAAAATGGATTATATTCATGTATGCTTACAAGTTACATTACAAGTTTTAGTAAGTATGTTGCTATTCACAATGACTGTCTCTTATCAGAGAGCTAGGGAATTGTAAGCAAAATCCAGAGTCCTCCCGGATTTGTTTATTCTGTTACAGCATAACTATCAAAGAGACTCCAGCATTGCTGAGAGCTCAGGACTGTTTCCTCAGCCTCTAATTAATTCCCTACAGTGCTCTTTATTTGTGGTCAGCTGCGGGGAGAGAGGCTGATTGCCTGGGGATAGTCTTGCCTGTCCATGGCTGACTGGCCCTCCTTGATTCCATTTATCCTGACGCCAGGGAATTTGTGGGGTAGATCAGGGCACCACAGCTTTTTGCTGGACTTTAGAAACCTTGATTATCACTGGGAACCTAGAGACAGAAAGAATGAAAACTTAGCTTCTAGGCCCACTTCTGCCAGTGAGCTCTGTGACTTTATAAACAGGAGCCACTCTAGGATCATCACGTGTGAGATGGAGATGGTGGCATCTATTACTAGCAGCTAACAGGACTGGAGCACTTGGAATTGGCCAGGCACCTTGTGAGGACTTCACAGGTATGTTATCTGTTATTCCTCACAATGCTATTGCGAGTTAAGTCCCTGAGTCACAGGTACAGTTATCATCGGTGTTTCAGGTGAGGGTGAGCTTAGGAAACTTGTTAAGATCATACAGCCTGTATGGTAGTAGAGCTGGGGTCTAAAACATCTTTAACAATGCCATTTTCCCTCCTCTCTCTTGGCCCTATCTCATTGCAGTGTGAAAATCAAATGAGGAAATGTATGCATGAGAACTTTGCCAAGTGCTACTCAAAGTATAAGATACTAATGACGACTAGAGTAAAATAGTGTCTAGTTACCTGGTAGAGAGGCCTAAGGAACCTTTGGTTTTCATAATACACAAGTTAATGATTTTTTTTTTCTTTGTCACTGCCCAAGAATTCTAGTGGGTGAGTTCTGAGCGTGTATCATCCACATTTTAGAGTCCTGCTCAGGTGAGTGTGCAGGCATCCTGGAGAGCCCTCCCAAGGGCATGAGGGGGAGGCTTCCCAGGATGTGAGGCATTCAAGGACCAGCTGCTGAGACTGTCCCTGATTCCTGTGAATTGCGTAGATTAGTGAGATGCCTTTGTTATGCTGGCAAGGAAATCTTATATTCAAGAACCAGAAAGGGAGTTGCGGAAAGAACAAACCCAAGCTAAGACATAACCATGTAAGGTCAAAAGCACAGATTTTAAAAAAATGACCATATTTTAGTGCTTGGAAACAAAATGTTCAGGGAAAGGCAAATTGTTGGCAGACAGATTTGCTACAGAAGTCTTTTTAAATAGTGAAAGCCTTACAAACAGAGCATAATCCCAGCATCTGTGTGTATTTTGAATTTAGGCAATTAAAGTCTCAAGAATTCAGAATCTGTTTTAAACATGGGAGGGTAGGGCGCTTGGAAGAGTAAATGAAGCTCTTTTTTGAGTGACTCCCTAGGTTGTATTTCCCCTTTATGGTGCAGCATGTGGTGCAGTGCTTGGCACATAAAAAAATCTCACTGAATGATTGCTGAATTTGCTTTGTTGAAATTGGGCCTCATGTTCTTTACTCCACAGCAGAGCATGTTAACAGCTTTCATTGAAACCAGGACTGCTGGAGAAAGCTCTTGGGACATCAGAAGCATGGAGGCCATTGAGCTGCTCCACCAGAGATTCGGGTGGGCGCAACGTGGCTTTGCTTGGAGCTTCAGTTCATTAGCTGGAGAGCCAATTTGTGGGTAACTAAGCTATTCTGATTCCTTGGAAGAACCAGAGAACTTCTGTTAGAGTAAGTGACCAGTCAAATTTATAAAGTACAATCCAAGAAGTGCACTTCATTTCTTTAAAGTATTTTCAGTAATTTGTAACATTATCAGAATATTGTTAGAGAAAAATCCTCTTGAAAACTTGCTTTACCGAGTAAATTAGCTTATAAAGTGTTTGTAAATGAGTGCTTCTAAGGTACCTAAGCTTATGATGTTAGGAAATAAAGATATTTCTTTTAGTGATCTTATTAATATGGTTAATTTTGTAAATACTCCTTCCCTTTCTCCATAAGTAGTAGGAAGATAAATGAGCTCAGTCACTGACATTTCTATTTCTTGATAAGTGGGACCAAATTGATGAAATTATATTTGTGTGATTTTTTTCAAATTTGTAATTGGACATTTTATAACCACCTACTTTGGCTTTTTTGTTTTTATAATGTATATTGAGGTGTTATAACTTCAAGACATTATAATGTCACATATCAGCGTCATCCTTTATATATTTAAATTTCTCACATTTTCCCATTTCAATTGTATTTAGCTTTTCATCATTCTTATTTTTCAACCTTTTTGAAATTTAAATGAAATATAATAAACTGCACATATTTCAGGTATACAATTTGGTCAGTTTTGACATACGTTTATACCTGTGAAACCATCATCACAAGCAAGACAGCAAACATTTTCATCACACTCAGAAGTTTCTTTGTGCCCCTTGGTAATCCATCCCTCTGCCATTCCCACCTTTCTAGGTAACCACTGTTCTGCTTCCTATTGTTATAGATTAGTTTGCATTTTCTAGAATTTTATATAACTATAATCATACAGTGTACGCTCTTTTTTAGTTTAGCTTCCTTCACTTAGTATAATGATTTTGATATTCTTCTACATTATTGCATGTGTCAAAGGAGTATTTCTTTTTACTGATGAATAGTAAGTATTCCTTTGTATGGATATATCACAACTTATTTATCTTGATGGAAATTTGTTTTTCCTCCAGTTTTTAGATAACTTTCCAAATAAAGTTGCTGTAAATATTCATGTACACGTCTTTATAGGAGCATATATTTTCATTTCTCTTAGGTGAATACCTAGGAGTGGAATGGCTAGATCATATGGTATGTGTATGTTTAGCTTATTAAGAAACTGCCAAATGGTTTTTTAAAGTGGTTGTAGCGTTTACCTTTCTACCAGCGCTGTATGAGAGTTCCAGCTACTTCACATCCTTACCAACATTAGGTATGATCAGTGTGGGACTACAGAGAAAATATTATTATGTTTCTGTATGGTTAGCATTTCTAAACAAATTTTGCTCGGACCTGGGTTAAAAGATAAGTCTTGGAGTTAGTAAGGGATGTACCTCCTCACAGGAATGTGATTACATGTCAAGGAGTAATGAAACTCAGCACCATTGAGATATTCCAGGGCTTGGAAACCCAGAGAAGCTTCTTATCGTCTCCTTGGAGACTTTATTTACCTACATGGGTATTAGACATGCACCCATTTGTTTCCTTTATGGTGAGCTGTTTGCTCCCATCCAAAGGCTATTAAAATTCATACACTTTTATTTTTCCAAGGAAAATTTCTGACACTAAAGAAGCAGATGTCTTTCTCCTTCTCTCAGGAGTTGAAGGAGGAACGACTGTCTCCTGTATGAGCTCCCAGGTTCATAACTTTAGTGTTCCTTACCTGTGTTGTAAATCCCAATATGTGTAGGATGGCATCTGGCTTTCAGCAGGGGAAGAATTTGGCTAAAAGGGGAACCAATGTGGTTATTGCTCTGGGTTAGTGATAATCTATCTCCCCTCCAGGAAATCTTGTGTTAATGTTCCAAATAATGTGAATAAATATAGATACTAACAGCTTAAGAGTGTTTTTTTTTTTTTTGAAAAAAGTTTTAACCATACTGATTACTGTACTATGGCATCATATTGTGGTTTCATTTTATATTTGCTTGATGACTAATGATATTGACATCTTTTTATGTACTTACTGGTTATTTGTATATCTTCCTTTGTGAAGTGCATGTCTTTTGAACACTTTAAAGTTGGGTTTTCTCCTTATTATTGAGTTGTTAGTGCTATTTGCTGTATTTTGGATACAAATTCTTTGTGTATATGTGTTGTGAATATTTTCTCCCATTCTGTGACTTGCCTTTTTCGTTTTCTTAACAGTATCTTTTGAAGAGCAAAGGTTTTTAAAATTTGATAAAGTGCAATTTATCAGTTTTTTATTTTATAGTTCATACTTTTACATTTTTTCAAGAAGCTGTTTCTTACCCCAAGATTGCACAAATGTTATTTTATGTTTCTTCTATGTGTTTTATAGTTTTAGTTGTTACATTTAGACCTGTGATCCATTTGGAGGTAATTTTTGAGTATAGTGTGGAGTAAGGGTTATTCATATTTTGATGGACTGTGTTTCTGTTTTCTAAGGTTGTCTCTGAAGTTTGGTGATGCTGAAAATCCCAGAGGTATTGATATAAGGTAGGTATGGATAGCACTTTGGAATGTCATAGGTTCAGCACTTCAGATTAGCTCCATATAATTTATTCATTCAACATGTAAGTATCAAGGGACTGCTGTGTGCCCAGTATTGTGACACATGAAATGCCACATTTATCTAATTACACTGAAAAGTCAGTGATGTTATGATGGGATCCTATAGTAATACTTTCTTTAGTTTCTACCAAAGCAACTATACTTTTTCCCTCTTCCTTTAGCGGCCTAGAAAATACATGAACCTGAGAATGTGATACCTCTTTCCTCTGAGCAAAGAATAAGATATGTTTAAAGCTCCAAAACTGAGGCTCTAGTTTGAAGTTATTTTCTGTATAGCTCCTTACAACTGAGTCACACTTATCATTTAACTGTAACTAAAAATTCTCTGTTAGCTGAATTCCCCAGCAGACAATCAACATAGGCCTGCATTTTTCTGTTTATGTATGGAATAATGCATCTGCCAACGTTGGCTTATCCAAGCAGTTAGGAACTGCTCCAGGGGTGGGGAGCAATTTGAAAGCATTAAAAATTTTTTCTTATAAAAATATAATGTTTCCTTTCCTATAGGAGCAACCTTTTAGTGGAGATAAGCAGCCGTGTCTTTAACATTTCTTGAAAAACCAGAAGGATGTGCTAGGGCAGTCTTTCCTAAGCTGTGTTCTATGGAACACTTTTGCTCTGTGTAAATGTTTATAATATTTCCAGAAAAGGGGTCCTGTGGTGAAACGTGTTTGAGAAAGACTGCACAGCGTGTCCTCTTGGAGATTCACGGTATAAATCTGTGTGTTGAAGTTTCTGTGAAGACGCGCTCTTAAGGAAGATTGCTGCACTTGGTGACTTTGATTAACCTAGCATTTCCTGTCTTTTCTTGTTGTTGTTGATGGTTGTTCAGCAGTTAGTTGTGATTTTGGTGTTTTCGTAAGAGGAAATGAGCTCAAGTCCTTCTACTCTGCCGTCTTGTCTCCAGTCCCCCTTTCTTTCTTTTTTTTGCCTCTAACCTAGCATTTCCTATGTTTAACCTTGGAAAGCTCTTTCCTCAACATGTGCCTACATATCATGGGATACGAGTGTTTCACTGGTCATAATTTAGAACATGCATGCCATCATCTTTCAGAGACACTTTATAGAATCTCACAAGGTGACCAGACACATATACATATTTGTTTGATATAGGAATGGGGAATATTTTTGATTCAAATAGCACCTTTTAAAAATTTTTCCCTAGAGGAAAGTAGCTTTTTGATTATTATTTTTTCTGATGGTAAAGCTGTGTGGCTGACATTGTCAGTGTACCTTGTCTATATCCTCTTGGGCATTTCCATTTGAGTGCACTATAGTCCACCAGCTCAACTTTTTTTAAAAAAAATGATTGATTTATTTATTTAAAGATTTATTTATTTATTTTATTTATTTTTGGCTGTGTCAGGTCTTAGTTGCAGCATGCGGGATCTTGCATTGCGGTATGTGGGCTTCTCTCTAGTTGTGGAATGCAGGTTTTCTCTCTTTAGTTGTGGAGCACAGATTCCAGGGTGCATGGGCTCTGTAGTTTGTGGTACGCAGGCTGTAGTTGAGGCGTGTGAGTTCAGTAGTTGTGGCGCACAGGCTTAGTTGCTCCATGACTTGTGGGATCTTAGTTCCCTGACCAGGGATCAAACCTGCATCCCCTGCATTGGAAGGTGGATTCTTTACCACTGGACCCCCAGGGAAGTCCCCACCAGCTCAAGTTTAAACTTCCAGCCTTTCTTTGCCTAAAAGCTTTCTCTGGCCAAAGGGGCCCACTGCCTCCCATCTGTACCCCAGCAATGACTGAAAGAAGTCTGTAAATATCCTAGCTCCCTCACCCTCGGGTGAGATAACTCAGAGGTGTGTGTTCTACGCTGTCTCCCAGGATTCCCTGTGGGCATTAAGCCCCTGTCGCTCATGGTGGAAGCTTGCTTACCTTTGTCCTTCGGGGCTGCCTTCCATTCCTCTGTCATTTCTCTTCTCTCTCTTCTACATACTTTTGTTTGTTTGTTTGTTTTTATTTGCAATACTTCATTTAAAAATTTTTTTAATTGAAGTATACTTCAACTATAGTTCATTTACAATGCTGTATAAGTTTTGTACAGCAAAGTGATTCAGTTATACACACACACATATATGTGTATGTATATATATATATATATTCTTTTTCATATTCTTTTCCATTATGGTTTATTTCAGGATACTGAATGTAGTTCCCTGTGCTATACAGTAGGATCTTGTCGTTTATTTATTATATATATGGTAGTTTGTATCTGCTCATCCCAAACTCCTAATTTATCCCTCCCCACCCCTTCCCCTTTGGTAACCATAAGTTTGTTATTTATGTCTGTTAAGTCTGTTTCTGTTTTGTATCAGTTTTTAGATTCCACATATAAGTGAGCATTTGTAGAGACGTGGATGGACCTAGAGACTGTCATACAGAGTAAAGTAAGTCAGAAAGAGAAAAACAAATATCGTATATTAACACATATATGTGGAATCTAGAAAAATGGTACAGATGAACCAGTTTGCAAGGCAGAAATAGAAACACAGATGTAGAGAACAAATGTATGGACACCAAGGGGGGAAAGAGGAGGGGTGGGATGAACTGGGAGATTGGGATTGACATATATACACCAATATGTATAAAATAGATAATTAATGAGAACCTGCTGTATAACACAGGGAATTCTACCTCACTTTGCTGTACAGTAGAAACTAACACAACATTGTAAAACAACTGTACCCCATTAAAAAAAAAAAAAAGAATACTACTCAGCCATAAAAAAGAATGAAATAATGTCATTTGCAGCAACATGGATGGACCGAGAGATTATCATACTAAGTGAAGTAAGTCAGAAAGAGAAAGACAAATGTCATATGATATTCTACGTTTTTTGGATGACTAAATTCCCCAATAAATTTGGGATCACCTCCACAAAATACTTGTATTCACATCCTTGTCTCAGGGTCTACTTCTGTAGGAGCCCAAGCTAAGACAAGGTTATATATATATCTGTTGAAAACTGAAAGATTGGAAAATACTGAGCTATAAAAAGAAAATGAAAATCATTCATAATCCAACCACCATTGGTCATCACAATTAACATTTGTTTTTTCTATTTTTACTTTTTTTTATTGTGGTAAAATTTACATAACATAAAAGTTACAATTTTAAAGTGTTCACGTCTGTGGCACTTAGTACATTCACAATATTGTACAACCATCACCTCTGTGTAGTTCCAGAGCATTTTATCACTCCAAAAGGAAACTCCCTACCCCTTAGCAGTCACTCCCCATTCCCCCTCCTAGCCCCTGGCAACCACCAGTCTGCTTTCTATCTCTGGATTTGCCTGTTCTGGACATTTCATATAATGGGATCATACAACATATGACCTTTTATGTCTGATTTTTCCAACGTATCCTTTTAAAAGAGCAACTTGGAAGGGCAGGAACAGAAGTAGGCACTGAGCTGTTCCATCCACTTCCCTCCCTCCCTCTCCTTGTTTAACAACAGGCACCCTGTGTGGTTGCCAGGGGCTCTCCTGGGCTGCTGGAGCACCCTTTGCCTGCATGTCCACCAGAGGGCCAGACATCCCCCAGGGCAGCCCTAACCAACAGGCGTTTCCAGATATCCCAGCAGGACAGAGCCAAAGTCGCCCTCCAGGGACCCTGCTGGATGCACGCCCTTACTTGTTCTCCCCTCCCTCCGCCTGTTTCACATCTTTCCTCTCCTGTCCTCCTGGGATTTTCTTAAAAAATCACTTGCCCACAAATCCTTGCTCAGACTCTGCTCCAGGAACCAGCACAGGTTTGAGAGGCCAGGGCAGAGGGTTTCATGTCCCCCAGGCCCATGGGCGTGCCATTCCTGCCCTCAAGTGGGCCAAGAGACACAGAACCAAAGACCCTGTGGGCTGGACAGCTGTTTGGCAAAACGACCCGGTGTTTTCACCAGGAAGGATTTTTTCGAGCAGTTCCGTTGGTGCATTAATGTTCCCACCGCACTGAGGCTGTGTCACAACAGCCTCAATCTCAGGCCATTATCTGAAATAGGGCTGCAAACAATGTGGCGGGCTCCACCCCAGCCCTGAGCACAACAGAAGTCACTTCCAGGGAATCCAGAGCCAGCCTTTCTGGGAATGGCTTGTCTCTCCCATTGCCCTCTGGAACAGCTGACTCCAGAGTCCAGATCTGAGATGTCCACCACCTCCATCCTTCTGGCCTTCAGCGTTCTCGGTGGTTTGTTGCAGTGGGCGGGGATGGCCAGACTCAATTGCATCCCTCAAAAAACCTTTCTGTATCTGAGTCAGGAGCCCAGGGTGAGCAGGGGCTGTCCCAGATAACAACGAATGTTTTATAACACCAGGCCAGCACAGAGCATTCTATTTAAACGAGCACAACCTATTTTACAGATGAGGAAAGCAAGGCCCAGTTGGGTTGTTTAACAACACTTACCATACCACTAATAAGAGCTGTATTTCTGAGAACTCTTTTGGCTGCATAAAGTCAAAAGGTAACTGATTAATAGGATTGAAAGTGTTAGCTTCAGACACTTAACTTACCTCACCAGGGCAGCATCTTTCTCCATCTCTTGGCTCTGCTGTCCTTGTGTCAGTTTCATTCTCAGGCTGGAAAGATGGTGGCCAGCTGACAGTTATCCACTTAAGCAACATAAAAGAACTCTGTTGTAGCACAGCTTACATCTTATTGACCCAGCCTGGGGCATATGCCTCTCTCTAAACCGATCACAGTGATTAAAGGGCCACAATACACTGATTGGCAGGGTCCGGGAGACCACTGAGAGGGGAGAGGGTCAGCCCTATACACACCAAGACGCTGTTCCCAGAAGGAGCAGGAACATAACCTACAGGTGGGCAGAGCCAGGATCAAAACCCAAGCTTTCACCCTGAGTTATACTGATCTCAGCTGCTTTCTTTTTCTTTTTTCCATTTAAAAAAATTGAAATATAGTTGATTTACAATGTTGTTAGTTTCAGGTGTATAACAAAGTGGGTAATCATATTAACATTTTGATCTCTGTCTTTCCAGAATTTTTTTCTATGCAGTCACACATTTTTAATGAAAAAAGTGATCATGACATATGCATGTTATAACTTTTTTATTGCTAGAGAATATTCCATTCCAAAATGGCTAAGAGTAAGGGCTCTGGTCTCAGATGGGATTCTAAGCCCAGCTCCAGTGCTTACTCTCTGAGTAAACTTGCACAAGTTAGTTACTTAACCCTTTTGTGTCTTAGATTCCTCATCTGCAAAATGAGGATAATAATATTCTCTATCTCATGGTGTTGTAGTGAAGATTAAATAAAATATACATAAAGAATTTAGAGAGATGCTTGACACATAGTAAGAGCTATTTTATTTTTGACCATTATTTATTTAGCTACTTCTATATTATTGTCCATTTAGTTTTTCTCAGTTTTTTTGCAATAATAAAATTATTTTAATTTTAAAAAAGAAAAAATACCCAAGCTTTTTGTGTTTTTCCTTTTGTAGGAATTTGTATTGCTCACTTTGGGGCGTTCTCCTGTTACTTGCTTTCATTCCCACCCATCAGGAGGCTCTCGTTCAGAACTAGAAAGTAAAAGCCTCTCTCTGAGCCAGTTCTACTACCTGACAAAAGAGGGCGCACTTGTACTGTTCGTCAACAGTGTCCTGCATCAGCAAATGTAAAAGTGCTTTGGGGGTAATACTGTTTTATAATCATTGTCAGATTCACCCTTACCAGTTACAACAAATTGTCCATCCAGAGCTGGTTTAGTTTGCACCGAGTCGAGGTTATTTTCAATAATTCAATTCCAATAACTTTTAATGCAACTGGCATGTTTGCTCCATCAAGTTACTCCTACCACTGCCAACGCGTCAGCAGCCTGCAGCGGTATGATGCCCTTTTGTTGCCCAGCGACACCAATGATATGTCAAGCCTGTGGGAGGTCACTTTTGTTGATTTCCAGGTAATAAACTAAAGCATATGCTCAATGCACCTGTGTGTTTGGTGCCAAAGAAATTCTGTTTGTTTGAAAACATAGATGTTTAAGGAAAAGAGAGGAGTAGATATCTTTAAAATTATATTGGTATGAATTATGTTCTTTATCTTCTAAGGTATGAAATAGGATAGGATCAAGTATTTCCTCTTCCTGCACAGTGATCCCCCTGCCCCCCAGAAGGACTTTCTTTTATATAAAGGTTTATCCAGTCACTCATAATTATCAGTGAGGAATGCCAGCAATGTAAGCCAGAGTGAAGCTGTGGCATGAGCCCAGTGACTGACACTTCCTGGAGCAAGAGGCCCTTCTGGGGAGAGGAATTGTCGGACAATTATTTTATTTCCTTCAGGGAGAGGAGCAGTGATCCTATCAGGGCAGATAAGAAGTACATCTAAAGTGTGAGTGACAGCTTTGGCATTTAGCATAGGAATGGAACTGTCAGCCAGGGAGTCAAAAATATCCTAAAGATCCTCTTGAAAGTATTTGGGGAAAGGCATAGAGGCATAAGAAGTTCCTTTTCACCAACAGAATCTCGGGCTGAGAGACATCTGTCAACTTCCTCTGACCTGTTTACCTGTGAAAAAAGCTTAACTTGTTCTTCCAACTCCCTGAAATAGGCAGGGTTTTACATATCCCTTTTATGGGTTCTTCCCAATCTTTTTCACATATAAATATATATTTATTCCCCTTCCCCCCAGGTTGGAGAAGTGTGGTGAGGTAGTTTGGGGTAGGGAAGGAGTTCGCATTTTGGAGTTCGAAAGACATGGTTTTGAATTACTTATCAGCCACTTGGGCAAGTTACTCCACCCTCTCGATTTCTGACCTATCTTTATGGATGTAAAGAATTCATGGCCTAATATATATGTGGCAACACCCAGGACCGTGTTAGGCATGGATTAACAATAACTAATACTTATGAGTCCTCTTTGTGTGTTGGCACTGTTGTAGTTATTTTACATATTTTGTCTTCAAAACTTATCATAATGCTGCAAGATAGCTGTTATTATCCCTCTTTTACAAATGAGATGACTGAAACTCTGATGATTACATAATTGTTCAAAGTGATATAATTGGTAACTGGTAGAGGCAGAATTTGAATTGTGGACTGGCTCCAAAGACAATTTATAATACATGTAATATATATATCTATTTATATAATATTTATAAAGTATATATTATATCTATTTCTCTCACACTTTTAAAAGAGAAGTAGGTGGAAAGGGAAATGAGGAGGTAATAATGAAAACAAGGAATAATCCACACATAATCTTGCCTAACAGATGAATTGACTGATTTATATCTCTACCTTGTTCCAGAAATGACTTACAATGACTTATAGAAATACTTCAAGAAAAATAACTTTGAAAAATGGGCAAACCACTTCACACCCATTAAGTTGATCATTATAAAAAAAAAAAAATCCCCCAAACTGAAAATAACAGCTATTGCAAGGATGTGGAGAAATTAGAACCCTTGTACATTGCTGGTGGAAATGTAAAATGGTGCAGCCACTATGGAAAACCGTATGGTGGTTCCTCAAAAAATTAAACATAGAATTACCATGTGATTCAATAATTCCACTTCCGATTATATACCTAAAAGAATTGAAAACAGAGACATGCACAGATATTTGTGCATCCATGTTCATAGCAGCGTTATTGACAGCAGCCAAAAGATGGACATAACCCAAATGTCTATCAGTGGATGACTGAAAAACAAAATCTATCATGCACATACAATGAAATATTATTTAGCCTTAGAAAGGAAGGAAATTCAGATAAATGCAACAGCATGAATGAACCTTGAGGGTATTATGCTAAGTGAAATAAACCAGACACAAAAGGACAAATATTTGTATGATTCTACGTATGAGGTACTAGAGTAGTCACATTTGAAGACAGAAAGTAGAATGGCAGTTGCTAGGGGCTGGGGGAAGAGGGGACTGGAGAGTTAGTGTTTAATTGGTACAGAGTGTCAGTTTTGCAAGATGAAGAGTTTTGGAGATGGATGGTGGTGATGGTTGCACAATGATGTGAATGTACTTGATGCCCCTGAACCGGACACCTAAAAATGGTTAAGATGGTAGATTTTATGTGAATTTTACAATAAAAAGTATAAACCAAAAAATGGGAAGACATGGGATTAAGGAAAACAAAAGGAGGAAAAGATCAGCTAAACCACTAGTGAAGTTGGTACACAAAACCATGAGACCATCTGTCTGCCCTGACTGGAAGCAGCACAGTAATTTCACTCTGAAGCTCTTGAGCAGCCAGCATAAGAAAGAATCACCCTTTACGTGTTCATGGGGTTCATAAGACTACTGAGAATGTGCTTGTGAGGAGCACATTCATCCCTGGTGTTGTGCAATGCGTGACAGCATCCTCAGCAGCAGCCTCATGGGGGACAGAGCACTGGGTGTCAGAGGTGGACCTTGTAAAACACTCTTCATGTGGACAGATACAGAATCAAGCCCAGTCCAGGGAAGAGGTAGTGCTGGTGGTGATGGAGGTTAAGGTATGCATACAAAAGGCTGCGTTCCACATCTACAGCTTTGCTGATCTATCTGGTTTATTCTAGGAATAAAGTATAGAGTGATGTCACATGCATGGCAAACTCACGTGCCTCAGGTGAAAGCTCACATGCCTCAGGTGGGCCAACTGGGGACTTTGGCAAAATGTAGCCGGCATCACAAGAGGTATATTTTATAAAACTTCAGCTAATTTTTGCTTTATAGGAATGCAGGCCCAATCTTGCTGGATCTTCTGACTTTTCAATTAAAGATAGAAATGTAGATTCCTGGGGGAGATTTTCAGGATGTTCAGAACTCTGGGCCAAACAAAACTTACCTGTGGGCTGGATACAGAGTGTTTACAATCTCTAGTCCAGAACATGGATAGACAACGTGTCCCTCAGGCATCCTCCACAGATATTGTTCTCAGTCAAGTCTTAAGAGGTAAGTGGCAGTCAGCGTGAGGACATTCTCTTTGGCTGGAGTTGTAGCATCAGATGAGGCCATCTTTTGTCATTGAGGAGCTTGACTCTTCAGGCTAGTGCCTGAAGAGAAGGCCACTTTGCCTCTTCATAGAGTGGGCAGGCCAAGTATCCTAAAAGCCAGGCCAAGAGTCTCCTTCAGCAGTTGTTTTGGTTCAGTCTAAGCACAGGTAGTTGGGCAAGCAAGGCCCCTAATGTCTACGGTATGATGGGTGGCTACAATCATTTTAGCATGGAAACATGGTAAAGTGCCCACCTAAGTCTTAAAAATGAATCCTCTGTAAAGCATTCATGGATAATTCAATTTTCTGATGTACCCTTTTAAAACCAACTAGGTGACTGAATGAGTTGTAGGGTTATATTCTAAAAGCTAGCTGAATGTGGAAGCTGCCTTCTACAAATGATTGTTCTCATTTAGAATCATTACTCTGTAGACTCTGTACTCCCTGTTTCTTTATTGTGATAGTATTTAGATAATGGGGCCAGTTGTCAATTTGAACCTCTCCTAGTTCCAAGTAATTAAATCACTTCATTGCACATATGAGAAAGCTTTTCTTTGAATTCTCTGAGCAGACTGCAAGTGGTATACAGGTCTTCCAAAAACAGTACCAAGTCTGCATGGTACATCTGATAAAGAAGGAGAGTTAGTGATGGGGGGAAAAAGAGACACAATATACCAGGAGTTATGGAGTTGTAAACTGAGAAGTGCCTCTGAAACCAGACTGCTAAGGTTTGAATTACAGCTTCATTGTACTTAATACTGTGTGACTCTGGGCAAGTTACTTAACTTTTCAGTGCCTGTTTCCTCATCCATAAATTAGGATAAAATAGTAACTTATTCATAGGCTCTTGTAAGTATTAAATGAGTTAAGGCAGTGTCTGGTATGTAAAAAAAAAAAATCTTCAATAAGTGTTAGCTTTTATTATCTATATTTTACGTCACTGGGAATCATATCTTCCCTTAAAAGACTCTTCCTATCTACTTCCTGTCAACAGAATCAAAGGCAGAGAAAGTGAGAATTACTATTCTTTGCGAAATTTATATTAACACATAAAATTTTGAGTAGGCTTTGAATTTTAGAGACAACAGACGTGGTTTTAGGTGAACTAAGGATCAGATAAAAGAGGTTTTATTTCAGAGCCTTGAATTTCTCTGGCCACTTAATTATGACAACCATATATCCCAGAGTTTCTGGGTCAGTCTTGATTTAAAATTAAGTTTCACTGTCCCCACGAGCACACTCACATTTGTTAGATAATGTGTTTAAATTATTCAGCAAGTATGGCCCCAGTATTTAAATTTGACTGATTAGGGCTCTAGAACCCCTAGCCCAACTGTGAAGCAGATTTTCAGAGGAAAGAGTATGTCACTTCAGCTCTTTTCTCTTGACAGATCCAAGGCTTTACCATTAAGGGGGGGACAGTTTTCCAAGGCCCGAGACTGCACCTCTTCCTTCTCACCAGCCATTCCAGTCAGCCTGGCAATGTCCCTGATCCTGCCCTGCACATGCTCATCTACCTGTGCTATCTGGACTGGCACTATGATTTCATCGCCTCTCTGGCTCACTTCTGCCAGTTGAAAGCTCGAGATGCATCAGAAGAGAAGGAGCTGCTGAGGAGCCAGGGAGTCGAATGCTATGAACTGAGAAGCCAACAGATCTGCAAAATTTATGTTTAACAGCACAGGTCCCTCTTCCTCAGGAAGTCCACGATAGGCTCTGAAAGGAGGTGTTCCTGTTGTGTGCTGTTTGACTTGTGATATAAGATTTTCACCAAAAGGCTTGATTTTCTTTTTTTAAAGGAAATACATGCAAAGAATACATTTTGGAACATCCACTGGCCTTCTTAGATAGACTTGGAGCAATGATAAAGGTATCTCAGGAATCCCACGGAGATAAAAATGATTGCTGCCCCAAGGTGTCTTGAAAGTAAAAGAATATTTCAAGTTAGGGACCCCCCCCCCAAAAAAAAGAATGATGCAATATAAAGAAGGGAAAACACACTTGGTCTTCCTTGCCTTTGTCAGTTTGGATGTGATAAATATAGAAATGATAAATATAAGGTTATCTGGAAGTTCAGAATTTAAAGTATTTTGTAACATAGTTTGCATTTTTCAGAAGTTATATCCCAATTTTGTTTTAAAAAATAGTCTTTTTTTTCTCTGTCACAGAACTGTTTAGGGAAGACTCCTGTCAATATGGTGGAACACTTTATTCAAGGGCATTCTTGTCTTTTTCTTTGCTATTCAGAGGCAGCCCAGTTCAGTTTCTGAAGGAGCAATAATAGTCTTGGCAGTATCTTACCTTTCTTATTTCATTGTGGTGCCAAGACTTGCCTCGTGTGTCTGATTTAGACTTCCATCAGCTCTCCTAGGTACCACTTAAACAGCTAAGCTAAATAAAAACAATTTGCTTACTATGCAAATACATCTCCAAGTCCCCTTCCAGTGAGATAGCATTCCCTAAAGAAATTCTGGAACCACCACTCATCTTCTTATCACCATTTTCTTCCACATGGATTTCCCCATAATCCTTTTCAGTTCTTGGCAGATACTGAAGAAAGGCTCACTCTGCATCCTCACCAAAGCTTCTCTAGTATGACTTCTGTGTTAAAGAGATCTTATGTGTAAAAACTACATTGCATTTCCCTAACTAGGGTTTCACACATGAGCTAGGTTCTAATAAGATACCCTGCACAAAACCTCGAAAGCAGTTGAGAACAATGCAAGATAGGGGGTCATGCACAGAGAAATTGGATCCTCTGGGCAGCTGTGGTGATGGGTCTGTAGTCTGGTCTCATCTTTGATGCCAGGTGTGACTGATCGTGACTCTGGGATTTCTGATAAAACAGTCTCATGTTGGACATTTCTTTTGGCTGCAGTATTCTTGGCTGTGAATGTAGATTCTCAGAATTCTGTAAGCTCCTATTAGTCTGTAGTGAATTCCTTTTTGTTTTTTTTAATTGAAGTGTATTTGATTTACATCCTTTCTGTTTTAATACCTGGAGCAGATTCTATAGCCTGCAACTAAGAATCTTAATTTATGTACTTATTTGTAGCAAAGATGGTTGCAGGGAGCACACCCTCAAGAAAATGGGAATCTAGGATTGATTATCTGACTCTGTTTAGCTTAAAATTATAGGGGACTTTGTTAGCATTAGAGGATGGAAACTGAGAGCCCATGCCATTCCATAAAGAAATATTCATTGTGGTTGCTTTGAGTGTCCACTGGTGGTATAAATGGTTGCTGTGAGAGGCTGTAAGTACATGAAGGGTCAACATAATTTACTGTTCAAGCTGGGACACTTGAAAGTAAAAGTGAATGTCATTGACCATTCTAAGATAACAGACATAAACGGGATGGCTCCAGGCAAACTGGGGTATATAGTCACCTTAGGTATGGTGGTAATCCTGTAAGGTAGGCTAGCTCTTTCTAGCTGTGCTGGAGGGTTTACAGAAAGAAAATGATAGCTCAGGATTTTAAATTCACAGCTCAAGGCATGGTTAAAAAAAATCCAGGGAGTTTCTATAACTGATCTGCAAGGATCTCTTACCTCTTGTCAAAGGGCTGACATAGTTGAAAATCAGACACAGGTCTGATCCTGCAAATTGGTAAACTGCATTGCATGTGGAATTCACAGCCTTGCCAGGTCTCTTACATATACATGAGAACATTTGTTTCAAAATAGAAGGAGACTGAAATAGGAATGGTAACTGTTGGGAGAGTTTAGACGACTTAAGGTATATTGAATCCCAAACTCCATTAAGTTTTTCTTGCTAGCAGAAACATCCTCTCTGAGATAAAATGATTCTTGCCTTGCTTGAAGGTCCTGTGATGACCTCATCAGAGACAGTTACCTTGCCCATTTTCCTCAATGCCTCTAGACAATTAGTGTCATATTCTAGCATATTCCAGGGAACCAATTGCAAAGTTAAATATGGGAGAATAAAATTGCAAGGTTTTGCTAATTTATGCAGCATAAGACTTGGGGAATATATTTGTGAATGGATTCTGGAGGTGCTAGCTCAGAGAGTGAGGTGTATAATTTTAGATCAGGCTGAATCTTTTGAGATAGGTTCTCTTACCAGATTTTGGATTAATTGTGGTGGTTTGAGCAGCTGGGAGTATTTCTAACAGTTTTCTCAGTTGGTTGCTTACAATCTGAAACTCAACAGTGACAGACACAAAATAAAATAGGCCAGAAATTTCTTGGTATACTATGGAGAAAAAAAAAATTTAAACTTAGAAAATTGGGATATAGGAATGGATTTATCATGTATAACCTGTTCTCCATCCTTATAACTATTTTCCTCTGTGAAGGACCAGAGGATACTCCTTTTGTCATAGCACTGAGAAACATATTGGGAACATGGTATCAGCATTTTTGAAAAGTGTTCCAGTAACTGTCCTCTGTAGTCTATGGGTGAAGGTAAGAGGTGCTATCCTTGAACTAAGGATTCCACTTAGTCTCATAGGGAAGCTGGGATCCTGGAGTGGCAGGGGTCAAATAGCAGCAGAGCAGCCTTAAGGGGCTGAAGAGTGGAGTGTTAATCAGATTAGTTATGTTTATTAATGGTATTCTATGGTAGATTTGGCTAGACAGTCCATTGGAATACTTATTTATCTTAATAATAATAATAAATGATCTAGTTCTGGTGTAAAAAAGACCTTACTTGAGCCATCATGGTGGACTCGGAGCTGAGTCTGTTCATGACTTAAGAAGAGAGCCCTTGACTGAAAAGAGACCTATTAAAAGAAGGTCTTTGGTCTTCGTATCTAATGTTGAATATTATGAACAATTTTATGTTTATCCATCAGGTATCTGTCTTTTTGTATCACTTCTGGTATGTTCTGACTTTTAGGTAAAGAACTGACACTATTCCCATGGGTACTTTTATTATTAACCTAGTATATATGTGATTATTGTCCTATAATTGTTAGTGATGCAGGAGCACAGCCTAAGAGATGTCTGTCTTCCTGGGAGGTCTGGAAAAATATGGCAAAGAAAGTGATGTTTGACATGAGTAGCAGTTAACCAGACAGGTAACATGGAAAAGGACACATATGGCAGAAGGAAACACATATGCAAAGATTGGACCTTATCATGTGCAGGGAACATGATAAATACATGTATATGGGTTGGCAATACAATGTATTTGGAGAGTGAAAGAGAGATGCAGCTGGAAATGGAGAGAGGAAACAGATCACTGTGCTCAAGTAAAGACTTAGAATCATGACTTGAGTTAATGGAGAGGCCATTGAGAGGATTTTGGAGGATTCAGAGGTTGGTTCAATAAGACATAGTGACCAGGTAGCAAGTCAGAAATAACTGGTAGATAACTTATTTTGGGTGCTGGTGGAAGGTGATGCCGATCTCTGCAATCAGGGAGAAACAGGTGAGGGTGGGAGTGGGAAATGGGAGATTCCTCTAGGCAGGTCCTGTAGTAGAGGTCCAAGTAGGTGGTTGAATGTATGAATATGGGGTACAATGAAGAGGTCTGGACTAGAAATAGAAATTTGGAAGTGTAGTAGCTGCTGTCAGTGTCCACCTTTGCACCTTACCATTTCAGTGCATCTTGGCCCATCTCTCCTTCTTCAGTAACTGCCCTCAGAGGCTGCCCTGCCTGTGTTCATGGCAGGCTGGAAGTGCTGAGGAATTAATGTCCCCTGGGAGTAACCTTCATATAATGACTCTCAGGAGTTGTGTATAAATACTCCAGCTCATTTTCCCCTTGACTGGAATAACTAGAGTGTTTACACCATTTCCTGGAGCTCCTCAAAGACTATGCTCTTTTGCCCATTGGGGCATCTTTGCTTGATAATGTTCATTTTATTAACTCCCTTCTTTGCCCTGTCTTACTTTCCTGTTTCCCTAATGATGTTTCCTAGCATCACCTCCAAAATGAACTGCTTGCATTCAAATCCTTGTCTTGGGATCTGCTTCTCAGGAAACCCAAACTAAGACAAGCATAGGGGGAAGGTTGAAAACAAGGTGGTAGTGGTGATGGAGAAATGAACGAGATCAGCCAAGGAGAAAGGGTAGTTTGATAATGGATCTCTGGGGAATGCCATTATTTACGGAGTAGGATGAGAAAGAGAACTCTGTAAAGGAGCTAGAGTAGGAGCAATCGGAGAAGAAAGAAGGCAAACCAAGAAAAGGACATTGTCTTAGAAATTAAAGGGAAAAAGGCTTCCAGGATGAGGGGAGTAGTCAGTTATGTCAAATTCTGGAGACAGATCAAGTAAGAAAAGAACTTAAGAAGTGTTTATTCCTTGGATTGATCAATAGGAGGTCATTGATGAACATCAAACTTCATGGAAAAAGATTAGAGATACTCTGGGTATTTATTGCCCCAGTTTTCTCCTGGAGGGAATACCTTGGACTGGTTGTATCCCTTGTCTGAAGGGCACTGCCTCTTTTAACATGGCCTCCTACACATGACTCTCTCCTGGCTTTCAGTAATTTCTTATTCCCTTGTCTCTTTGAGCTCAGAGGTGGTAACAACGCCATTGATAGTAGCCCCAGGTTACTGCATTGTCCCTTATGGATCTCCCGTACCCTACTGGGACCTGCGTAATGTTTTCTTTGTAAATAAACCCTCCTTAAATTATCCTATTTTGAGGGTGCCTGCTTCCTGTTGGGAATCAGACTTATACAGAGGTTTAGAAAAATTAAAATTTATTTGTTGCAATTTTTTATAGCTAGCAGTTTTTCAGAAAGAATTTTAAACATTTTAGTAAGATAGAAGAAACTTGAGTTATGTTGTAGGGTAAGTTAGCAGTTCTGAGGTTGTGGTGGATTTTTTTTTTTTTTTTTGCCTCCTGTGACATTATG